TGTAGTCCCAGCTACTCGGGAGGCTGAGGCAGGAGAATGGCGTAAACCCGGGAGGCGGAGCTTGCAGTGAGCCGAGATCGCGCCACTGCACTACAGCCTGGGCGACTGAGTGAGACTCCGACTCAAAAAAGAAAAAAAAAAAAGAGGAAATATTAGCCGAATAAGTTATATAGAGTTACCATATGACCCAGCAATTCCACTCTGAGGTATATTCCCCAAAGACTTGAAGACGGGGACTCAAACAGATATTTATACAGCAGTGTTCATAGCGGCAGTATTCAGTATAGCCAAAAGGTGGAACCAACCTGAGTGGCCACCAACAGATGAATGGATGAACACAATGCGCTGTATCCACCCAGTGGAATGTTATTCAGACTTAAAGAGGGATGAAGTACTGATCTATGCAGCAATGTGGGTGAACTATGAACAGTTTATGCTAATTGAAAGAGGCCAGACACAAAAGTGCACGTATTTTATGATTCCATTTATACAAAAAGCTCAGAATAGGTAAATCCATAGAGACAAAAAATAGATTCCTGCTTGGCAGGGCCTGGGGGGAGGGGAGGATAGGGAGTGCCTGCTTAAGGGATGTGGGGTTTCCTTTTGGTGTCATGAAATGTTCTGAAACTAGATAGAGGTAATAGTTGTGCAATATTGTGAATGTACTTGATGCCATTGAATTAATACACTTTAAAATGGTTCCAAGGATAAATTCCGTGTTATGTATATTTTACCACAGTTAAAAAGAAACACTGGCTGGGTGCAGTGGCTCACGCCTGTAATCCCAGCACTTTGGCAAGCTGAGGTGGGCGGATCACCTGAGGTCAGGAGTTCAAGACCAGCCTGACCAACGTGGAGAAACCCCATCTCTACTAAAAATACAAAATTAGCGGGGTGTGGTGGTGTATGCCTGTAATCCCAGCTACTCGGGAGGCTGAGGCAGGAGAATTGCTTGAACCCGGGAGGCAGAGGTTGCGGTGAGCTGAGATTGTGCCATTGCACTCCAGCCTGGGCAACAAGAGTGAAACTCCATCTCAAAAAAAAAAAAAAAAAAAGAAGAAGAAGAAAGAAAAGAAACACTGGTTGTGTTGTGAAAGTCCTCAGAAATGGGGAGGGAAGCCTGGAGCACCTCCCCTCCCTCCCACTGCCCTCTCAGCCCCAGAGACTGCCCCTTCTGTCCTTCCTCAGAGCACGCGAGGAGCTCCATTCCTGGTCGCCATCTGAGGATGACACAATGAGTAGGACTAGGACTTTAAAACTAGTGTATAGAGGTTTTATCCTCCATGTACTGCGTCTTAAGTTGGGCTATGTGTGTATTGGTCCCCAGAGCATTTTTTCAGCTAAATTGCATAATGACTGTTATTTAAAAAACTGGAATAGGAAAAATCTTAATGTTACATTATGCCTGTGGCATTGTCTTAAAATCAGTTTTACCATTTAAGTCCACTCTTCACAGGAAAATCTGAAATGCCTCAGGCTCACCAACAAGCGAGGCCTGCCCACTTTCTCTTCCTGTTGGCAGCTCAACTCCTCCTGAGCCAGTGATTTTTTTTTAAAGAGATGGGATCTTGCTATGTTGTCCAGGCTGGATTTGAACTCAGGCTCAAGCCATCCTTCCACCTGAGATTCCTGAGTAGCTGGGCCTACAGGCACAATGCCATGCCTGGCACCATTGATGTCTGAGCATTTGCCTTAGATGAGCAAAGGAGCTGGACTCACAGTTTAGAGTCTCCTTAAACCTTGAATGCAATGAAGCCCATCCTGACTAGCTTACATATTAGATGGCTGCATTAACCAGGACTTTTGTCCCCACTATCTGTGCCACAAACTGGGCAAATAGTTCCTAAATAACTTGCTTTAAGTTGTGCCTGTCATGGTTAAAATGCTACCCACAAATACTAACAAATTGAATATCAAATTCTTATCCAGTAGTTTGATCCAGTGGCCAGGGTGCCCGGACAGTCATTCCCAGCCACCCCAATTGCAAGGTCTGCCGTTAGCACATTTCTCCCTGTGGATTGGTAAGTGCCTGCCCCAGACCATGCCTGGGCTGATCAAGAGAGGCCTGATTCTTGCATCGTCTCGAGTGTAGTTGCCTGCTACGTTCCTAAAATACTACTTTAAAGAAGAGATCTCTAGTTGACTCTGTATGAACATGTTCATTTGTGCCTTTGCCAGGGTCACGTCAATTGCAGACAGGTTGAATGTGGAATTTGCTTTGATCCACAAAGAGAGGAAGAAGGCGAATGAAGTGGACCGGATGGTCCTGGTGGGCGACGTGAAGGACCGCGTGGCCATCCTCGTGGATGACATGGCTGACACATGCGGCACCATCTGCCATGCTGCGGACAAGTACGCAGGGCGGTGGGGAAAGCGTTAGGACTTCTCACTAGGAAAGGGAAGCACATCAGCTTTTAGAAATTGGGCTCTATTCTCCTGATTATTGCTGGTCTTGGCAGTGGAGTTTTAGACCAAAGGAGATTCTAGACCCTTTTATCTTTATACTTCTTTCTCGGGTAGAAAAGAAAGCATGGGCCTTTTCGTTTTCCAGGGTGACCTTGTAGTGTACTTGAAAAAGGGTCAAAGAAGGTGCTTCTCTTTGCCCTGAGCACAAAAGGAAAGATGGTTTTTCGGGCTTCTTCAGTCCCTTGCTTCCTTCCATTTGGCTTTCGTGCCAGCCTTCTCGGCCACATGGGTGTCTGAAGGATTTGTAGACCTGCTGTCCACTATGGAAACCCCCAGCCACACATGGCCGTGGAGCTCTTGGAATATGGCCAGTCTGACTTGAGATGTGCTGAGAGTGTAAAAAGGCCACTAGGTTTGGAGACTTAATATGAATCAATGAATATAAATATCTCATTTACATATATGTTTTTATATTGATTACACATCAAAACAATGACGTTTTGGCTATATTGGTTTAAACGGGTGGCTCTCAAGCAGGAGTGATTTTGCCCCCTCGGAGACATATGGCAATGTCTAGAGACACTTTTTGTTGTCACGGCTGAGGGGTAGGGTGTTGTTAGTGGGTAGAGGCCAGGGATGCTGTTGAATTTTCCCATAATGCATAGGACAGCCCCCATGACAAAGAATTATCCTGGCTCAAGTGCCAAGGTTGATAGTCCCCGATTTAATGGAATACAAAGTGTTTTGCTTATGCTTGAATGATCCTATCTTAGGTTAATAAATGTGAGTAAAATGTGTTGCATTTTTCTTTTACAGAACACACTTTTTGCTTTTACCATTCATACTAGGGGAGAGTATGCCAAGAATATTTGCATACCCTTAATTTTTATCTTCTGCTGTTCTACAGGCTGCTGTCAGCTGGAGCCACCAAAGTGTATGCTATCCTTACCCATGGGATCTTCTCTGGACCAGCTATTTCCAGAATAAATAATGCCGCCTTTGAGGCTGTTGTCGTCACAAACACAATTCCGCAAGAGGACAAAATGAAACACTGCACCAAGATTCAGGTAGTGTCTATACCGCAGGCAGCCAAGCAGCCAGGCACCTACTTTAGATCCCTAAAAATAGCATCATGTCTTCTGTGTGTGTGGCTCCTTGCTAAGGCACATGCTTGGCAGAGGCAGCAGCTTCTCATGATGGCAGGATATAAATCATATTAGATCCCTGAAAAAGGCCGGGACCAGCAGAGGTCAACGTTCGCTATTTAGAAGTAGAGAGTGAATAAAATCACAATAGAAAAACGGTCAGAAACGGGCTGTGCTAAAGCTAAACTTAGAATTATCATATGACCCAATAATTCCACCCCTAGATATATGCCCCCCAAATTTGGAAACATATTCAAACAGAAACTTGTACAGACATGTTCATAGCAGCACTATTCACAATAACCAAAAGGTAGAACCACCCAATGGCCATCAACAGACAAACAGATGGCCAAAGTGTGGTCTATCGCTACGATGGAATATTATTCAGCCTTTAAAGGGAAAAAAATCCTGACGCATGCTACAGCATGGGTGAACCTTGAAAACAACATGCTAAGTGAAAAAAAGCCAGATGCAAAAGGAGGAATATTGTGTTTCTGCTTCTAGGAGGTACCTGAGATTGGAAAATACATAGAGACAAAGTAGAATGGTGGCTACCAGGGTCTGGGGATAAGGGGGTCGGTGGGGAGTTATCTATTGTTTAATGACTATATAGTTTTTGTTTGGGACGATAAAAACAGTTTGGAAATAAATAATGGTGATAGTTACACACATTAGGAATATAATTAATGCCAATAAATTATATACTTAAATGGCAAATTTGATGTTATATATGTAAATTTTAAACTGATAAGAACAGACACTATACTTGATCTTAGTGAGATAGATAGATAGATAGATAGATAGAGAGAGAGAGAGAGAGATAGATAGATACACATTCACACAATAAAAAAAATGGGGGTGGGAGCAGCAGGCTGAGCGGAGGATCTTCAGAGCTTTGCTCCTTCCTTTCCCTGCTGATTGGATGCCCATGGGCCAACAGAGAGCTGATAATCATATAGATAGCAATTGGCCTGAAATAAGTCAAAGGGTTTTGTTATGCCCAGACTGTTTGTTCCCCAAAGAAGACCACCAGAGTCCAGAGTCAAAGCCAAGCGGCAAGCCACCAGAGTCCAGAGTCAAAGCCAAGCGGCAAGGATCTTTACTACAAGTTCGAACTTGGTCCCTCCTTTACACAGTGTTCAAGAGGGCCCTGAACAATGAGAGCGTTTGCTTTT